CAACATTAGAAAGTCATGAGAAGTCTTATGTTTATCAAAATTGTTGACTTCTGTGCATCCAAAACCTGAACATAGGTTGGTGGTCTCAAGTATGCTGAAAAGACCTGGGCTGTATCACGGTTCAGAGGTCCAATTTAGAAAGGTTTTCTATTGTAGAATTTTTTTTAAGAACTTTCAAAATGTAAAATATAATGTAGATACAGGAAATCACATAAAACAAATTCATACACGAATGGGTTATTACTAGGTGAACATTATTATTATCACCACTCAGGTTAGAAAACAGAACTTTGCCAGCCACCCCAGATGCCTCTCTGTGTCCACCCTCTCCAATAAAGTACACAGATTTCTAAATACTTTGAATTTCTTATAGTTTCATCAGTGATAGGCATCCTTAAATATTCTAGTTTAGTTTTGCTTTTTAAAGTATGAACTTTAGGCCTTTTTTAAGTCTCAGGTCCTCCTCCCATCTTTTTTCCTCCATAGTAACTGATTGTTGAGGAAACTAGATTATTTGACCTGTGAGGTTTCTCAGTCTGGATTATGCCTGTTGCTTGAGCTGTCTCAGACTTGGCTCTTTAGGCTTTCTGGCTATCTTCTGCCTCAGTCCTGAAATGACATTCTGCCTGGAATATCATTCCTTTTAATCTCCCTACCCTGTATCTTGTTTGTGAGATTATCTCCTATATATCTTTCAAACCTTAGCTCAAATCTCCTCTCTCCTAGAAAGATTCTTGGATTTTTTCATCTAACATAATATATGTCATTTTCTGTAATCTTATAGCACCTGTATAATACCAATATATAATACCGAGGACATTATAGCAATGAGTTCCTTTACCCATTTTTCTTTTGCAAGTGAGATGCTTTCAATCCACCAAATGTTCACTAGATATTTCTGTGTGCCTGGCATGGGATAGAGACAGATAAAGTATAGTTCCCTTTTGGATGATATGCTTCTTACATCTCTTTTAATTGAGATATTTCCTCTTCCTCTTGTTACTCATAAATGCAGTTATTTTCAGTCATGTCTAATATGGCATACACTTGGTATTTTATACAGCATACAGAAATTGGCTCACAATGGATCAAAACCTAAATATACAAGTTAAAACTAAAACACTAAAGAGAAAAGCACAGGCATGAGTCTTCATGACTCATGAAGTTAGGCAATAGTGTCTCAGATATGACAAGCAATGAAAGAACAAAATCAATAAACTGGATTTCATGAAAATTAAAAATGTTTATGCATCAAAGGATAACATCAAGAAAGTGAAAAGACAACCCACAGCATGGAAGAAGATATTTATTGCAAGTCAGATATCCGATTAGCGCTTGAATCTAGAACATATACAACTCAATGTGAAGAAGACATTCTACTTAAAAAATGAGCCAAGGATCTGAATAGACATTTCTCTAAAGATACTCAAATAGCCAATAAACACATGAAAAGATATTCAACATCAGAAAAATGCAAATGAAAACTAAGAGATAACTACTCTGTACCCAATCAAAACGACTATAATAGGAGAACAAAACAAAAACCCAGGATTACAAAAAAAATGGCCTGGATGTGGAGAAACTGGACCCCTTAATTTCTTGTGACAATGTAAAATGGTTGCTTTGGAAAACAATCTGACAGTTTCTGAAATGATTAAACATAGTACCATATTGACTTTTCAGTATATGCCCGAGAAATGAAAATGTGTCTATACAAAACCCTGTACAGAAATGTTTGTAGCAGTATTATTAATTCATAACAGCCAAAACCTGGAAACTGTCTATCAAACTGGGTGGGTAAATCAAATGTGGTCTATTCAATGGAATGTTATTTGGCAGTAAAAAAGAATGAAGTACTGATTCATGGCTATAACGTGATTGAAACTTGAAAACATGCTAAGTGAAGGAAGCCAGTCACAAAAGACCACATACTGTATGACCACCTTTATATGAAATATCCAGATGAGGCACATCTATAGAGATAGGAGGTGGATTAGTAGCAGCCTAGAGTTGGGATGGTGGTACTGGGAACACAGGAGATGTGGGATGAACATGTTCTAAAACTGATTGTGGCGATGGCTGCACAACCTTGTGACTCTATTAAAAACCACTGAATCACGAATACTTTACATGAATTGTATCATACATGAATTATATCTTGACTTAAAAAACAAAAGTACTAGGGGCACCAATAGTTTTAGTACAAGAGCCATCGACAGTACTTAAACCATGGTAACTCTGGAAAAGAACTTCTAAACTGGAGTTAAGTGATATGAACAATTCAAGTCAGCTAGGCAAATAAGTATAGGATCACTTACCATCCTGGCAGAGTTAGCATAGTTTTCAAATGATGATGTTAAGAGAATAAAGCCTCAGGTAAACGAAACCTACCTGATCTCAAAAGGAAAAAATGTCAGATCAGGTTAGTTGACGATTTTATTCTTATATTCCATATACTAACTGATTTGTCAATTTTTGCTTCAGACAGTTCAGTTCTGTTTATTTTTTTCTTGAGGTATCTCTCATGATTATGAAATAACTTTGTTCATATCTAGTTACACTAGTTGCCTTGAAGTCCACATCATCAGATACTAATATAGCCATACCAGCATTCTTAATAATTAGGGTGTGCAACTTATGTATTTTCCCACATTATTTTCAACTCGCTTGTATCTTTGTATGTAAAGTGCTTTTCTTGTAAACAACATAGTTGGGTTTTTGCCTTTTATCTTGTTGACAGTTTTTTCCTTTAAAAAGTGAAGAAGTATTTAGTTCCTTTACATTTAATTATTGATATGTTTGGGTTTATCTGCCATCTTGGGATCTGTTTACCCCAGTTTTCTTTGTCCTTTTGTTTCTCTTTTCCTGCCTTCTTTTGGGTTGTAGTTTTCCATGTTCCATTTTTCTGGGACAGAAGTGGCCCAGTTGCTAACTGTTTGGGCCCTCCAGAGCTGACTTTGCTCTGGAGCTCTGCCTTGTCCTTTCAGATCTCTCTCCATCCTCCTTTTCCTTTGGTGACAGCTCAGTGCTTCTCCTGGGCTCTCAGCTCTGTTCTGCTTCCAGCCTTCAGTGGACCGCTGCTTTGCACTCGGCAAAGCCTAGGTGATTCAGAAGGATCTGTCAGCTCTTCTCTTCTGTCTTCTGCCTCTTGGGTGTGGTGGTTGTACACTAGGTGCAAGCTCTGTAGAACTGGCAGGTGGGTATGGAATTGCTCTTTGATATCAGCAGCTATTAAAAGTCTGTAAAAGTTCAGCTGGTTTATTCCTACTCCCCATTTTGGGAGGATTCTTCTTCCTGTCAAAACTGAAAGCAGGTCATCTCATTTTGGGGGGAAGGGACCCCAAATGTGGAATTCTTTATGTGAAATTTTGTTCAGATCTCTTTGTACCTCAGATCTGATGGGTTTTTAAAGAAAAGCTATGATTTTTGTGGATTATCCAGCTTCTTCTTGATTTAGGCTCTGGTTACTGTCAGTCTGTATTTTATGGTTATATGATATTGACAATGTTTACTTTTTAGTGGCTTATCAAATAACAGTATCCAAACTGAATTCCCGAGGAATCTATGAAAGGCCAATGAATAAATGAATGACAGTCACTTTTGCTTCTGAGCCACTGGTATTGACCACACATTAATATCCATAATCTGCCTTATGAACAGTAATTATACATGTACAAAATGGTGGGCTAGAGCTAGGTTACAGTTTATTGATAAAGTGCCAGAAAAAAGTTTAGTGATTGACTGTGCAGTCATGAGCATTTATACAACTTCATGAGTTAAAAAGAGATGCTCATGTATCATATATGACTTAATCTAATCATTAATAGAATTTTGCTTATATTTGTTAAAAATAAATCTTATTTTCTACATTTTTCCATAATGTGAAAAACTTCGTTTTCATGACTTGATTATATTCCTTTTATTTTGTATCTTTTAAGTTTCTGCAGAAGAATTTCACCTAGAGTGACTGGTACACTGAGAAGAATCAGACATAAAATTAAATGTCCAACAAATGCCTTTTTTACTTGATTCCCTTTGTGGTAATTTGTAATGCAGGTTATGAGAAGCACAGTTCTGAGATGTTTGACAGTAAAGAGTTAATTTGACTTACCAAGAATTTCTTAAATTTAACTGACCCCAGAACCTGTTTTTAAAGTAATCTCTGTTAGTCAAAATACATTTTGGAGAATGCTGCCTCTGAATAGCAAAAGAGAAATTTTAAACTTAATTTTCATTGAGTTGATTAGATGATTATTTGTCCCTCTAGCATTACCATGCTTATGTAATATCTATTTTTTTGTTTTCTGACAATCTGTTTAATATTGACAGTGTAGTGTAACACATAGGTCATCCTCTTCAGGATCTTACAGTCTGAAGATCTTCACACCATATAAGCAAATTAAGTGTAAACATTATTTTTTTTGCAAATATCTAGTTGAAAAACAAAATCTATATATCACAATCTGTCCATAAAGAAAGATGAATGCATTTGGTATTTTATTGAAGGGAAAGCTAGAAATAAGATGTGCAGAAACTCAAGGAAATACAAACCAAAAGATAATAGCAATTATATTTTATTTGTGAAGAACAGGTTAAAAATAACTTTTAGAAGTATTTAAACTTAAGCAGTAGTGTGAAAATTCTCTTAATTGGTTTATGTATTTATGTACCCTTCAGATATGTTCACTCAAAAAAAAATTTTTAGTTAACAAGGCCAAGTGGAGGTGATTACCTACTGAAGAAGAGAAATTCTTCATCTGTCCCTCTTATCAGCTCACTGACACTGGAGTGGGAAGGGAGTCTGGAGGCACTTGTGCTCCAGTGGGTCATTTGCTCTAATAGAATTTAATTGACGTTTCACCTCAGCCCCCAGCTCCTTGCCAGGGTGGACTGGCTGGTTGCCCACGTGTCTTGTCTTTTCCCTGCATGTTGCATAAATGTGTATGTAGATGCCTCATTTTCCTATGATGCTACAAAGGTAATTTTTCTGTTACTTACAGTCAAACTACAACTTCAAGCAGAAGAGAGAGGGGTTGTGTCTATCAAAGGAGTGTGTGCGAACCGTTATCTTGCTATGAAAGAAGATGGAAGATTATTGGCTTCGGTAAGGAATGCTTTCTGTATTTATATTTTTTTCTTTAACTTTTATTGCTGTGAATTTACTAGTATTGGTATTTATTAAATCTTCATTAAGGTTTTGCAAATATACCACTTAATCTTCACATTCATATAAATAGAGTCTTATACTCTTATTTCACAGATGCAAAAACTATAGTTCTGAGGGAGCATTAAAGTAACCAAGAAAACACAGCTCGTGTGAGGCAGAGTCTGGAGGGCACGCCAGGCGGTCTTGACTGTCTTGACTCCTGAGTAGGCACTCTGCCTATTTTGCTGCAAAGCTATTAAACTTTTTTTTTTTTTTAGCTATTAAACTTTAGTTATAAAAATATATTGTGCAGTTGTCTGAGGAGCATTGGGATGGACCTATAAAATTTTGAGTATGAGTTTTTAAAGCTTCTTTCAAATTTGACATACAAAACACTATACAGAATACTCTTTGCCAATCCCATATACTGTAGCCTACCAGGCTCCTCCGTCCATGGAATTTTCCAGGCAAGAGTACTGGAGTGGGTTGCCATTTCCTTCTCCAGGAGATCTTCCCAACTCAGGGATTGAACCCAGGTCTCCCGCAATGCAGGCAGACACTTTACCCTCTGTGTCACCAGGAGAGCCTGTGGGTTCCTCACTTAGGTACAAATGCTGGCTCTGCCACTTATTAGTTCCTGGGCAAACTGTTCAGAGTTCGTTCCCTTAGCTATAACATAGAGACAATAATGATCCTATCTCAGTTTTTGTGCAGACTAGTTTATATCAAGTGCCAAAATCAGGGTCTCTTATACATAGTAGGTGCTCAAAAATTTTACCTCCTCCTCCTGTTCTTATTTATATATAAGCTCATTTAAGAGCAGAGACTTTTAACTTTTTATCACTGCCACTCCAGGGTCCTCACTCCTGGCTAGGATCTTCTCCATTAACGCAGGTTCTCTGTCAACTTCACCATTATTACTACAACTGGGATTGCAAGTCTGCTGACCAGACTGCATGGGGAATGATGCAGGGAAACAGAGCCGTATAACAGACAGAGACCCTACTTGTGTTGCTGTGGGAGTAGAAAAGACATGTAGCTGTGTGTGTATACAGACCGCAGCCATGATACCATACCAGTAGCAGTTAGAAGCTCTACCTTGCCTCACAGAAGGGTACCTGACAATACTGGTGTTTTGAGCTTACACGGATAGTTTTTGATTTTTTTTTCTGAGTGAAGTTCTTTGGGTTCCTCTTTAATTAGCTTCGTGGTATGTAGTTGACGATGTCACATTAGTTTCTGCTCTGCAGCAGAGTGAGCCAGTTACACAGAATATATTCTGAGTCCCTTCCCATCAGCTCAGTGGGGTGTGAGTAGAGCCTCTGTGCGATACAGTAGGCCCTACAGCCATCTGTTTTATACGTGTGTATGTCCATCTCAGTCTCCTAATGTAGCCCTCCCTCCCGGGTAATCATCAGTTTCTTTCTTACATATGTGACTCTGTTTCTGTCTTTAAAATAAATTCATTTGTACCATTTCTTCAGATTCCACATATAAGCGATATCTTACGATATTTGCCTTTGATTTACATCACTCAGTATGACAATCTCTAGGTCCATTCATGTTGCTACAAATGGCATTATTTCATTTTTTATGACTGAGTAATATTTCATTGTATATACATACCACATCTTCTTTACCTCTGTTGATAGACATTTAGGTTGCTTCCATGCCCTGGCTATGTAAATAGTGCTGCAACACACACTGGGGGTGGCGTGTATCTTTTTGAATTACGGTTTTCTCCAGATATATACCTAGGAGTAAGATTGCTGGGTTACATGGTAACTATTTTTGGTTTTCTGAGAAACCTCCATACTACTCTCCATAATGACTGTACCAATTTACATTCCCACTAACCATGTAGGAGGGTTCCCCTTTCTCCACACCCTCTTCTAGCAATTATTGTTTGTGGACTTTTTTAAATTAACGACCATTCTGACTGATATGAGGTGATACCTCATTGCTCTAGTAATTAGTGATGTTGAGTATCTTTTCATGTGCCTCTTGGTCATTTGTACATGATCTTTGGATTTCTGAAGGGACTGAAACATACAGAGAAAAAGACTATTCACTGATCATGTGATTAAGATATATTTATTGTGATATTATGTTTGTGATTTTTGCAGGATAAATAAAAGTCTAGGTGTAGTGGTGCCTTCTTTCTCCCTTTTTGTAACTGAATAATTTTTAGAATGATCTTCAAGAATAGCCAGTGTCTTTTGAGTGTACTAGATACTGTGCTGGGCATTAGGATTATAAAACTGAATGCAAAATGGCCTGTGCCTTTAAATGAGTGGTAGTCCTGGGGAGGCAGAATTGTAAATAAGTATTTGCAGTAACGTGTAAGGGGATTGATGTGTTCCTTTTCTATCTTGCATGCATGCATAGTAATATAGGAAAGGAAGTAATTAAATGTGTCTAACTGGGGAAGATGACCTATAAGAGGCTTGAATGGAGACTGGGTTATGGGTAATTTTAGGACATAGCACATGCAGAGACATGGATGCAGGACGCTTACTAGGAGTCTCTCTAGAAGTGCAGTTTACTGCTGTGGAGTGTAAGGTGCAAAGGCAGTAGGAGGCAGCAGGGAAGAGATGTGGCTGGGGAGGTAGGTAAACTGTCTGCTGAGGTATCTAATGTGTCATGTTGTAGTCAGCAACATGGGAACATGGGAAGCTGTGAAGTGTTTTAAGAAGAGACACATCAGATTTGAATTTGAGAAAGTTCTCCTGCAGCAATGTAGAGGATGGATTGGAGGGGGCCAAGACTGGCGGAGACAGATCAGTTAGAAGGCTATGGGAATAGTCCAAGCAAGTGATAAGAACCTGGCAATAACAGGATGGAGCAATGAAGTTGATCAGGTTTAGAACTGGAATAAAAGAAAAAGTCAAAGATGACATCTGGTTTTCCAGTTTGGATGAAGAGGTAGATGAGAAAGGGGTTAGAGGAAAAGAGCAAGTTCTAGGAAAAGGTAATACAGGTTCAAATTTAGTCTTATCTAATTTAAGCTAAGAGAAATTCAGGTGAAGATGTGTAACTACATAGTTGGAATTCTGTGTTTGGACTTTAGAGGAGAGGTCTGTGTTGACCTCGGTGTCATCAGTATATAGGTAGTGGATAAAGAAGGGGAATGGATGAACTTTCCTAGGCAAAAAAAAAAAAAAAAAGGGAATGAAGACTACTTGCATGTCTTCCACTGTTCTTGCTTACAAGCCTGTTGTCAACTCAAGGGATGATGTAATACTTGGGAATGTACTGAAGTAACATGCTAAATATTTCCAGGACAGTGAATGTAAGGTTAACTCCAGTATTTTCACCTCGGGATGTGACAGACACACACAGCGTGAATCACTTTGTCTTCTGTAATAGTGTTGATTTGGCCACCACCAGACAGTAACGGTGGTGGAGATAAGAAAGGAAATTACAACATTAGCTTCTGTCTTTAACTATGGACAACACTAGTCAAAATGGTTTCAAAGCTCCAGACTTTCCTATGTCTGTCTCAGTCTGGCTCAGTGAGTGACTTCAGATTCTTACCCTGTGGTTTTCCATTATTGAGATTAGAAGATCTAGTAACCTGGTAATCATTGCTGGTCCTGTAAGATCGTCACTGGAGGGGTTATTTATCTTGAGAACATAGGCTGGAACACAGGTTCATCTGTAATGATAAAAAGCTCTATAATTACCTAAAGTGATGATAACAAGCTATTCTACTTTATTTATGAAAACTTTTTCCTTAAATTGAAGTTTAGTTGATTTCTGATGTTGTTTAAGTTTCTGGTATACAGCAAAGTGATTCATTTTTACACACACATGCACCTGGCAGATCAGTCTTTGGGGTTGCAAGAATTGGACAGTTCTTAGCGACTAAACCACCACCACATACACCCACACATTTTTTTCACATTCACTTACCTTATAGATTATACAAGACACTGAATATAGCTCTCTGTGCTATAAAGTAGACCTTGTTGCTTTTTTTAAATATATAGTAACTTGTATCTGTAATCCCAAACTCCTCATTCTTCTTCCCCTTTGGTAAGCATTAGTTTGTTTTCTATCTCTATGAGTCTGTTTGTTTTGTAAATAAGTTGATTTGTAAATTTTTCAGATTCTACATATAAGTGATATGTGGCATTTCTCTTTTTCTGTCTGACAGACTTCACTGAGTATGATAATCTCTAGGTCCATCCATGTTGCTTCTATGGCATTATTCTGTTTTATGGCTGAGTACTATTCCATTGTGTATATATACCACATCTTCTTTATCCATTCATCTGTTGATGGATATTTAGGTTGAGAAGCTACTCTACAAGTGCATCTCTGAAACTACTGGGGTTGTAAAAGAGGAGAAAATTTATGACACTAGACCTAAAAACTGAGCTTTCTTCTCATTCTTACAGAATACAAGTTAGAATTCAGAGTATTCTGACCCCTTCTCTAGGTGAATATCTATTAAGTGTCCCAAACTTGCTTCTTTACCATCAGAAGCATAAACTACTCTAAAATGAACAGTGTTTTCTAGCTTCTCCCTTAGCTAATAAGCAGGACCTTTCACAATATTTATGGTCACAGCATTTTTAGTCTTAAATATATTTCTGTCCCCTAGGATATGTGTTAATTCCTGATACAACAGACTTCCTTCAGATTGGTATAGCAAGAGTTAAATCAGCAGTGCTCAGATATTTACCACAAGCTCTGTAGGGACAAAGCCACAGTTGTTATACATAAATGGAAAATTCAGGATTTATCAGTTTTCTTTGAGGAATGGCACCAGCCAAGATCCAGTTGTTCCAGCTCCCGTCCTAGAAGCTATTCCTGCCAAGTTCATGAGTTAATCTCTAGTCTTACCATTCAGTTTGTATGGCTTTCTGCCTTGTGTTTCAGCAGCCATCCTCTTTCAGATTAGTCTGGGTGGGCTGTGTCAGTTTTCAGATGAAAAAGTGTCCCTCAAACCA